ATTGTAGAGCACTGATACGTGTTATTAAAATTATTAAAATCATAGTATGTGATCTCAGGTTTACGCCCTGCTGAGCAAGTGTACTTTCCTGGGGAATAAGCATCTATTGTGGACAGTTTCTGCTTCTGAACTGGAGCAAGATTTTCAGCACATTTTATCTATACACCAATGATAAACCCTTGGGACCAGTGCACGGGAACCAATACTGTTACATATTCGTTTTGAGATCTTTAACACTTTCTGGGGGTTTTGAGTAAAATACCTGACTGAATCACAAACTACGCAACATACCAGTCAAACTATGAATGCATGGTTGCCTAAAACCTCTTTCAGAGGAAAAATATTCCCATATTTCCTCTCACGCTCTGCAGTCTTTAGAGTTCCACTGCAATCAATTTATAATGTAATAGAACATAATGATAATATTGTACAATGACATCACCACAAATCAGAAGCCCCTTTGACTACCACCACAAAGCCTGCACTGGCACTTTGGATGACATGAGCAGCTCAGAGCACATGCTAGAAAAGCAGACTTCAGTCCACCCCTCATTTAATATGATGTGAAGACCTATTCACTACCAGTCTAGTTTGCATTCAAGACTACAGTTACCAAAGTCTTCAATATAGAATATAGAAATGAGTTGTTCTAAGAACACATTCATGTACACAAATAGCCACTGAAGCATACTAAAAATTTAGAGCACAACGTATTTTTGGTCTCATACGTTAATTTCCCCACTAAGGTTCACTGGTTAATGTGCTTTTAATCACATCAAAAATGTGTCTGGTGCATCTAAAATGCCACTGCTGTTAATGCGTATGTAAAGACAAATAGATTTTTAGTTTTGGATACAGTAGGAAAAAGAGTTACGATGCTGCATTTTTTTGATGTTTGGGTACCAATGGTGAAAGCTACCTCGACTTCCTATCCCAGAAACATAGTAGGAAGTTAGAAGAAATCTTCCAAAGTCATAGAAATTTCCCATGTAGATACTTGTCCATGAAAAAGGTGTTCCCATTAGAAGATTTCCTTTGTTCTGGGGACAACTCTTAAAATCTTGAAATTTCCCCTTGCTGCCTTTCCCAGTGACAATCAATGGTCACCAGTATAATAGAGTTTAGGGGCCCTGACCCTTATCCAAAAACAATTTTTCATAAAAATGATATGCTAAAAAACCTACTCAGCCACAACAAATATTCCTAAAAAGATGTTATTTTTAAGGATCCAATTATCTAATGAAAACATCCAGTGATATCTGGATAACATCACAATTAACGTGACACTAAACTCAGGAGTTAAATCTTAAAAATACATTCAAGTACCCTAAGTATTAACACAAATGTATCTTATTTGTGTATCACTCAGCTGAAGATCCTCAAATCATCTCTGAATTGGTGCAGACACCGTCCTTCCTTCTGGAGGGCGCTACTTCTGTTCTCCTCGGTACCTGTGTGTGTGTTGTAAAGTAGCAGCAGCTCTAAGCTCACTCCTGTGATGGACTACAATCTAAATACAAATGAGTAAACTAAACGTGGGATTGTAGTCCATCACAGGAGTGAGCTTAGAGCTGCTGCTACTTTACAACACACACACAGGTACCGAGGAGAACAGAAGTAGCGCCCTCCAGAAGGAAGGACGGTGTCTGCACCAATTCAGAGATGATTTGAGGTATCACTCGGCATCTACAGCCGAGTGATACACAAATAACATTTTTGTTAATAGTCCTGGTACTTTAATGTATTTGTAGGAATTAACTCTTGAGTTCAGTGTAACTTTAATTCAAAATATGAAAAAAAAATATATATAGAGGGAACACCAATTACTGGTAGTAACTCAATTTTGTTAAAGCTAAATTAACCTTCAATTAAAAGCACTACAAATATCCCAGGCGCATCAAAGCAAAAAGGTGTTCAAAGTCTTACTTTACTTTTTTCAGAAAGCAGCCACAGTCGAAGTAGAAAAGCCTGTCCCCCGAAAGCATGCTGCAGAGAAGGACCCTTGATCTGGGTGTAAAAAAGTGGTCTCTATGCAGAGGTCTTCGCTCTTGCTCAGCCACAGCTCTGCAAAGAGCAAAGTTCATGAACCCTGCTGACTGGAGAGCTCTAGCTGTGACCCAGCAGGGACCGTGACAAATTCCTGTAGAGTGACCACTGCTTCCACACAGAGAGGAAGGGTCCTTCCTTTCACATGCTGGTAGGGGACAGGCTTTATTTCTAAAGGCTGCTTTTAAAAAAAGAAGGAATATTTGTAGCCGATTTAAATTGAAAGTTCAGTAAGGTTTAAGAAAACAACTTACATTTAATGAAGGTAAATTTGATAATGAAGATATAGTCGATACGATTACATTTTAAGACTACCTTGCTTTATTAGATGTACATTGCCAATAAAAAAAAAAAAAAAAAAAAGTCAGAATGCTCTAATCTGATATAAGAGAATAACCCAAGTAGTTCTTATCCTTTAGTAAAATATAAGTTGTTTCAATGGCTCGACCATGCTGCTACTTTATTCCCTCCTATTGGGTGCACCATGAAACTTTAATTTCCATTTTTAATTAGTGCTTGGCCACAAACTACTAAATGAGAGCAGTACAGAAAGAGTGGCGGAAGTGTTTGAGACAAACGTCTAACTTTCTTTTTTATTTTTAAGCATTGAAACCCACTACATGACAAATAAGATCTCTTCCACATTGGAATGTGTGTCTAAGCCAATTCCCACTTATACTGAACATGTTATACTTCTTTCAAGATAACTCCTCAAAAGCAACGACGACTGATACAAACAATGCTTATCAAGTTCATTGATAGATTTCAGATATCACCTCCAGACTGCAAAGCATATAAGGAAATAAAAATAAAGGCTGGAAATGTGGTAGACTTCAGATAAGTTACTGCTGTCGTTAAGGTCACAAGATTGAAGCATAAGGTACTTTGAAGATAATGCTTGATACAATGGCCCTGAGCTATAAAGGGAAAAAGGCTGAATAGAGCATGACAACACAGTAACACGTTTTATAGATGGATCACAATGCACACATTAAAAGGCAGTGCTCCAGAGAAAAGACATTCAGGTCATTGTTGGCTTAGCCTGACAGAATACATATTACAGAATGAAACTTGTACAAATGCATTACAAGTAAAAGATGATATACCATACATTGGCCCAGGTAAATTATCCAATGAAACAGACTACTACCTAAACGCACCAACATCGGTTGTAGATGGTTAGGATGGAAAATACAGAAGTACAAACGCTGCACCAACTAATGTTTGCAGCCATGATACAACCTATTTTGAAAAGTCTCTTTATATTCTATTCTTGCAGGTTAGACACTAAGGGCATATGGACAAAATCCATCCTTAAAAGTAGTATTAAACTCTCAAACTTTTTTTTCAATAATGAATCCAGATCAAATGTATATTGCCCAGCAAAGCATTGCTTTACATTTTTGCCCAAACACCTACAATTATGTTTCTGAACAGCTGCTTCAAAGTCTCTCAGACCAGCTTCCCTGAACTTCCTTTTTAGTACAAGATGACAAAGGACAGGGCAGAATCCAGCAACTGTTAATCTAGTATCTTGGAGAGGGCCAGGGGGGAGGGAAGTAGCTTGATTTGCTGTGTCTGTGTGTTTGTGGAGACAAACATAGCTTGCTAGCACACACAAGGGTGACTGGATTGCACTCTGCTTCAGAGAGGGGTCACTCAAATAGGCAGTCAGGACCAGTGCTCAGAGGACCAACTGATTCTGCATGAAACAAACTAACTTTTAAACATCAAGGAGCAGCATCCATTGTAAGTGATCTCATCAGCATTTGAAATAGCTTAAAATCCTTTTGACTTTAATAGACATTTTAAAGTGTGTGGTTGCACTTATATTGTACAGTATCCTGGCCCTAGCCCAATTTCTCTTTTGTTCCTGACCCAGCAAGATATTACTGTTCCTGACCCAGCAAGATATTACTCCTAAAACAGCCGAGCCACTTGTCAAAATTTTCCAAGAAAGGTTGCCACTGGCCACCCATGTGGGAGGTTAATACTGCTACTGACACCAATTTTGTGGGTTATTAGGTTATTGCAGTTACTGACACTAATGCTAAGTTTTTTTTTATTGTGGTCACGGATACCAGTGATAGGGCTTAGTTTATTCCCACTTTCTCTTCAGCGCATGTAGCGGTACGCTGCAAAACAATGCAGCCGGACCAAAATCTTCGGGTGTTGAGGTGTGTTATATTATCAACAAGCTGCTTAAGGTGACGCAAATGCACCTCAAAACATTAAAAAGATCTGCTATGATCTATAAAACATGCCCCCTAAAATTTTCAAATTGACCACCACTGATTTCTAGGTGCACATAAACTGATATGAACATTAACAAAAGGTACGTGCAAGCAATACAAGTAGTAGGCCATTTAGCAGTGGAATAAGTGTGACACATTTTAGGACCCGAGAGGTTCTCTTTAAAAGTACGCTAAATTATGTTATGCGCTTAAAAGGGAGGAATGCTTAGAACTAGTTTTTGTCTTCAACTTTTAGGTATGCACTTGATCAGCTGATAGAAATGTCATCAATGAGTGCGCATAATTTCACGTACAGTTTATAAATCCTACAAGTTTATATGGACAGCCATATTTTCTCATTACAAAATGTAGGCTGTGCTTCCCGCTTAGTAGTTTCTCCACAGTGATTTTGTTTCATTGTTTCTCCTTTTCATTGCAAGCCTTTCTATTCAGACTGCTTGCAAACAAAATTATCTTTTCCATGTTGTTGCTGAATGCATCTCAGCAGTCATTCAGCAGGGATGCTGACTCACTGCTCGATAAATAGCCAGAGAATCTACAAAGCCATAGGTGATGAAAAAAATGGCATAACAGACATCATAACCATGGAAAACCTCAACAATTATGTTCAGGTAAACATCAAAACAATTACTCAAAATGTGTAATTTTACAAAAATGATTAGTGCCATTTAACGGTTTATAGAGAAATGATGTACATACCTTACAAGAGTCTGATTGTGTAAGTCCCACACTGCAATGTTGCCATCACTACAACAGGAGAAGCAGACCTTGGAGTCAGGGCTGATAGCCAGAGCATAGCAGGCAGGAGCAGATGATGTCAGCTCTGCTTTTATACGCGGGGTGGGAGCTGCTAGGTCCCATATGGATAACGTGCTGGCTTCCCCTCCGACAATCAGAGTGCGCCCATCAGGGAGTAATCTGCAGGAGCGGATGTAGTTATCTCGGTTCTGTAGACACAAAAAGGCATTGAGACGTGAAATCAGTACTTTAGTTAAAAACTATATAAGCAGCATTTACAAAGCCTGTCATCACTTTCATGTTCAAGTGTTATGTTAGGGATTTACTTGACTAAACATGTTTTAAAAGGGTAATGCTGGCCAAACATGCCTCAGATTTCGGTCAATTCCCAAAAATTGAGCAGTGGGTGGCCCTGTCGGCAACAAAAATCGATTGAGCTGGTTGGAAAATGAATTGGCTGAACCGTGACTATATGCTTTCACATGCAGTTTATTTTGGGGCATTCAGGCAGCTGCATGTGCTGTGGCTGTCTGAATACAATAGCTGACAGGGGAGCTTCCTCCAACTACGCTATTTAGCCTGGATGGAGGAATCTATTGATTTTCTCTTGTTCAGCCTGTGGGCTGAATGTGAGAAAACAAAACATGTAATGACTAGCTGAAGACGATTACTAAATATCCTTTGCACTTCCAGAAAACAAGCAGCAGCTAAAGATTCTCATGGGCGATGGGTTAAACACTGCATTGGAAAGCTCCAAAAGCACAAACATTCCCTCCTGATTTTAATGAGCCATTTGCAGTTATGACAATGATAAAGTGGAGTAATGCCAGAAAATTACAAGACATTAGACAAGTACTTAAAGTGGATCTAGAAAATTTAGTGTTGTGAGATAATTCATCTTAATTAGCATCGAAATGTGAAGCCATGTCAACCCAAAGTTTCTACAGTTCAACTGCACAACTCCTGTGCATGACACACAGTTCAGAGGGGAAGTTGGAATAACTCATACTAAATGACACAACACAGGATATTCTGGGACAATCTGTAAAACTCAAAACATAGACAAAGTGGAGGGAACACCCACAGCTACCAGTCAAATTCCAGCTAACCGTTTACTAGCGCAGGAGATAAAATGGAAAAAAAATTCTTGCTTTTCTATGTGTCCAGAAATTTGTTAAAAGAGACCCTGTCACCAACTTAAATATTTTCAGATTAGAGGACAAAATGGGTATTTAAAATGCTTACCTGCAGTGCTTTCCCTTTCTATAAATTAATTTTTATTCAATTGCAATGCACCTTTGAACTTGATGAAAAATAGGATTACCCCAGGAGAGTCACTTACCTAGCAGAGCCCCCTCCCTTCTTGCACATCCTAGCCCTCTCCTCTAATTATTCTTAGTGCTCACCCAGCTCCTGATCCCCTAATCTACCTGCATAAACTTTTATGTAGCTGCTGGGGGAGGAGGGGAATACTACAATGTCAATGGAGTGACAGCTCTGCTGACAAAAATACAAGATGGTGGCACCCAGCAGCAATCTTAGGGCTTTCAGGTGCCTACAAAAGGTAAGCTATTACAGATCCATAGCATGACTAAAATATGTTAAATGCACATAAAACATTGAAACGGATGGTCTGGTGCCAGGTTCTCGTTAAAAAAGGACTTAATGCTTTTAAAATGTAACTCTTTAAAACTAAAATATAGATATTAAAAGGGCTTAACAATTCCAGGTCACTATGATGATTGGAATTACTCCTTGGTGGTTAGTTCACCGTAATGATTGGAATGTCCCCTTGGTGGTCAGGATACCCAGCTAGGAAAAGGTGATGGGTAAGCAGCAGGAAGGGGGGAGATTGCAACAAAATTTAACCTGGATGTTCAGTGGGAATTATATTTTACTGGCAACCCTCGTCCCCCTAGTGGTGCCAGTAAAGTATTTAGTAGTGTAACATTTCTAAGGGTAATGTCTCCCATGCTACTCTCTCACACTTCTATATACTATATCTGAATTGTGGGGTTGCAAGCTGCTTTTGCTACATGTCCACCTCAGAAAGAGGGGGCAAGCGCATACAAGGGCAAACTCTGATATTCCTGTAAGGAAAGAAGATAAGCATCTGCTTGTACACACCTCCCCACTATTCCCCTGCAACATTGGAGCAATATGCTATACCAGAAATTAAATCACAGGAGGATGCCATCAATGACCGGTAAGAAAAGATACTCAAGTGATATTACTTTGCAATCTCCATCAGTACCAGATGCAAAATACTGGTGAAAGGCCATCTACAACCTGGCAACCTGCAGTGCTTTGGGACCTAACACTTCATGCCCTCCACATACTCCTGCTACCTGGCATCTCCCATCCCATCAGATTGCAATTTTTTTGGACACACCAAAATACAACTGATTGTTGGGGCTGTGCGATCTTTCTCACATCCTACTTTAGCGGGAACAGATCTTTTATTCAGCTGACCTCCCTCACAGTGTGTACTTAAGCTACAAAAGCTGGATGTTATTAGAAATGAATGAACATATGTCACTCCGCGGGTCTCAATGCCACTGTCCACTGCCTTTTCCTGCACATGAGTGTCGAGACCTTTGAAAGTGTTAGTCTACCAGTGCCTTCATTGCCACCATGTTTGTCTGTAACAGTCTAGTGCATGTACCACACATATTACTCATACATTAATGAAGTTACCCAATAGAGTAATTCTATGCCATCAGGATAGAGAAAAACCGCTAGAGAACTTAAGGCCTCATGCACACTAGCAGGCTGCGTTTAAGCCCAACAGAAGTTATCTGGTAAGTATAAACAACTTTAAGCTTCCCAGATCACTTTTTTCTGTGCTGCCCCAAGTCGCATTCATATGAGTTTACATGCGTTTAGCAGCAAAAAACTGGGCTAGTCGGACCCGGAACACAGAAATTTCTATTTGAACTCAGCGCTTTGGTACTTAGTGTGCATGAGGCCTAAGAGCTATGTAGCATCAGTGACCTGAACGTACAACTTCTATTAACACACAAAAAGAAAACCTACTGCAAACCAAGTTTCCATTTTCCTCATGCCACTTACCAAGCAGTCCAACTGCGAAACAGGGCTTTTATTTCCAGGGTGACTGATGTCCCAGACCTTGACACATCCTTTCCCACCAGTGTAAACGTGTCTTGTGGGGTTGCTGATGGTTACTGCACAAACCACTTCCCCGTGATTCAAGGTGTTAATTTGTCGTGCATGCCGAGGGATTCCTGGGCCAATGAGAGCATCAGGAGGGAATGGCACAGGCTGCATCTGGCCGTCAGCACTTACATGGAATGAATACGCTCTGAGAATAAAAAATATATACATTAACAAAAAATTTAGGTTAATGTATACTTTCAAGCACAACAATTTATTGCCATTATGAAAGCCGGCAATACTGGTTACCAACTACTACTGTATTGCAGGTATACAGATGATTAAAAAAATCCCTAAAAATAAAGGAGAATTTTCAAGATAGAATGGCTCCCAAGAGGGATACGCATAAGAATATAACATCCCTGCTACTCATTATCTCCAAAATTGCTAAAATAAGCCATTATATCCACAGTCGCATTACCCTTCCTTGAAGTAAAATTGCATGTTCCGCATTATCCCCTTTACTTTCCACTCCCTCCTGTAAACTACCACTGTCTTTCATACATCGTTATTTGAAATCTTCAATTTCCTCCTCTTCGGATGCAATCCCACCTAACATACGCAAGTGGGCAGAGTTCCTACTTTTCTCCACAGAAGATACTCACTCTTCTGTGGAGAAAAGTCCTTCTCTCCTTTTCTTCCTCTCTCTGTCCTTCTCGGTACGACGATACTACCTTCTCCCCTTGACAGTAGCAGTTTTTACAGAATCCCTGTGCAGATGCTATCCCACCGTCTATAGGATAGGATGGGATACCCCCTGAACAGTAACGTGTTTTATTATGCCACTTTATGTTTTGACTTGCGTATTTACCATGACAAAAAACAAACATGCTTTAAAAAAAACAAGGGAGGCATAAGCATGCCAAGTGTCACCTCTATTTCCATTACCCTAAATTTCAAGATCCATCCATGCACACCTCTGCCTTTAATCAGCAGGGACTGAATGTCATGCAGTCTACAGACTGAAGTCAACAGGGTACTGCACAGTCATGGAAAAAAAAAAGTCTCCAAAGCAAGCCCACACCAAAATGACTAGAGACAAAAGTTGTTCACGGACGTGCGCAATAACACATAATGGAGACAAGTAATATTTACATATGTATGTCTCTATATCTTCTACTGAAAACACACAAGTGGAGTTATCCATTAATATGCCTACAGATATCATGCATAAAAAAATGTAAACCCACTTTCTAAACTTAATTCTAATAAAGATAATTTCAGCAAAGTGGCACCTGGAAACGTAATGCTTTTCCACTTCATGTAATGAGATAATGTAATGCCTTGTTGAGGTAATCACCTCCTATGGAATATTTGCAGACCAGTGGCAACCAAATAGGGACTCCAGTCCTTCTTCTAGAACAGCTTGCTAGATAGCTAATTTTTAGCATGTTCAGTGACATGAAGGGGGCAAGATTATCAAGAGTCAATATTTGGAAAGCTGTAAAATTGTGGGCACTTAGACTTCTCCTTTGTCAATGCCAAAACAGAAAAGGGCCTTCAAACTAGAAAATTACCATACAACATTAAACATAACTTTAATTTGTATCACTAGTTATTTTGTCTTTTACCAAATCCAAAATGGGCAGGATGTCCATTCACAAGACTGGATGGGTCCAGGAGCAGGAAAAAAAAAAATCTTTGCTTTTCTGTCTGTCATTCTGTCTTTGTAAGCGTTCATAACGAAGCAGTCCTTCACTAGAGCACCTCGTTTTCACGATACACTCCTACCTAATCAAATTTTAACCATCAGGACCCTCTTGAGCATTAAGATTAACTCTTGTTTTGATTTGGTTGTTCAGCATGGCAGTTATTCTTAAAGCAATGCATGCCATTAAACGAAAAACCTAAAAGTGTCTTTAAACCAAGAACACATCAAGAGTTCTAAAAAAAAACTACAAAATACAAAAAAGCACAACACTTCTTCCTTCCTTACGCAAACTGATGGACAGCACAATAAAAATCATTCAATTCAAAAATCCATTTTAAATTAAGTCTACAAAAAAAAAAAAGATAGTGAATGCAATATGTGTTGAGCGTAAACTGTAAACTACTTACGGTTTCCCGCCTGGGATGCCTGTCAGATTTGGAGGCATTCCTGGAACCCGCATATGATGATGTGGATCAAAGCCAACCTAGGCATTTATTGAAAATATAAAGAATTACCTTGATAGAATACTCAATAAACACAATTTTCAAAACAAGTATGTGTATTGATTGTCATTATCCTGATACACAGTACTGTGCAGGGTTAGACAAATCCCAGAAGCCAGATAGTACTTTACTTTAAAAAAAAAAATGCCGCTGGTGCCTAACTTTAGTATTGTTATCCACAACAAAAACATGTTAACTCCACATGGCTTGCAATTAAACTGAATTAAAAGCATCCACTCTTCCACCTTCCATTTGTTGAGACAATGTTCCCTTCCTTGTCAGCCACATATATTGAAAAATTTACTGCTAAGTGGGAGGGTCTGCCAACTAGTTATATGATAAGATCAATTGCTCTAAAAAGAAACACTGCATACCCTGGCATCCCTCAAAATCTGGCACCTTACCATATTTTGCCTAAGAAAAACATTAGGGGTGCCAGCAGTCTGCCCTCTACCTTTGAGCAAACTTCTGTAAGAGGCAGAGGGTCAATAACCAGAGCAGGGCGACTAGAATTGTGGGAAATCTAGTCCTTAGAACAAATCTATTTGTCCTTCACCCTCTGTAGGTGTACATACTAGAAAATTAAACAGTGCAACAAATTTGACTGATAATTGCTTCACTGTTGACATACAAAACTCCCAGAACATCTGGATATTTTCAGCACAAAAGTTGATGGGTGATCAGGAGGGATGGAAAAACTCATCTGTTTACAATCAGTCAAAAGACAATGCCGGAACAACGATGGGTTATCGAATATAATGTTTTGACATCACCAGACAGGAGCCCTAAATGTGCACGGGCAAGTTATGTCATTTGGAAGTCATTTACTCTGTGAGCTGAAAGTACCTGTCATGCTGTACAAACACACATTGCAAAGAAATCAAAACAGATGTTCCTATATGACATTTCACACACATCGCTTTCTTTTCATGTATTACATTTTAGCTTCAAACTGCACTACCTGTAAACAACTCTTTGTACTTTGAAATGAGCCTTTGTGGCATAAAGCCAGAACCTCATTTAAAGTGAACCAGAACTCAACTAGTAAACATTTGCTATGCTTTAGGGAAACATTTACAAATTTTACTTGTGCCTTAGCCATATGAAAAAAAACCAAAAACATTTGCCTTAAATTCTTGCTAAAAACAGCAGTAGACTTCCTGACGTGCTCAGGCATTCCTGTTCTGTAGCCTTAATGCTGTATATCTGTAGTGCGAGATCATCTAAGGCACTGCTGCCTGTGATTGCTAGTCTCAGGACATTTGGTAATGTCACTGTTGTGCTGCGCACTATTCTCCTTGCTCGGGAAGAAGCTGCAGTGTCATGATCTTTCTGCTTTTTTCAATCTGTGGATTTGTTCTTCCTCCATCTCACCAAACAGGTATTGGATCAGCACTCATGGGAGGGAGGGGAGATTTCAGTCCTGTTCCACCATGAAGATGGTCACCTCCACACAGACACTGTGTGGAATCAGGCATAGCAAATCGGTATTGGGGAAAAGATGATGAGTCAATACCAGTGACTAATCCTCTGTCCTGTGTTTGCCTTTCTTTAGGCATAGCTTCCATAGTACAGCTCATCATCATGTATGATAAAGGGACTGAAACAATATTGTGAATACAGCAACAGCAGCTCTTCTCAAACATAAGGTGTCTTGACTCAAAGCAAGTGAACCTAAACATTTTATGGAAATGTGTAACACTTTGAAATAAAAAATGTTTCTGATTATATCATCTTCAAATTTACAGCGGGGGCATGTTACAAATCATGAGCAGCAATGAATGTTGATCACTGCATGATTATTATACTGATCCACACCATCACTTCTTTAATTTGTCAAAGTCACAGAAAAATATATTAATGTCCAATGCCTCAATCATTTATTGGGCCAGAACATTATACACAGTGTATGGTTAGCTGTAAAAAAACAAAACAAACATTCTCTTGATTTAGAGTAAAGCAAAGCAAAAATGTAGCCAAGGGGGTAACTGCACAGCTGCTCAGTGCCTTATAGCCTTCTCTAATACAGCACCCAGACAAAATGCTGACCAGCTGATCAGGTGCTCCCAAGCAAAAGCAGAACCTGAAAAGGGATAAAAACACTTTGCGCATATACACTCCCAATGAACAAAAGGTATCTGGGAATAGATGTAGATGCTCAACACACAAATATTTCATCTGTGCTTGCTTTACTGAGGAATTTGAAAGATACCAAGCAAGAATAATTTTCTTCATTTTTAAGGTTACTTGTCCTTGAAAATGAAAAGGTAACTTGTTTAAATGGGTTAAGTCAGGTAAAGCATATTGTATTTGTGCAAGAGCACATAGAATGAAGGACTAAAGGGCTGGGGTGGGGGTCAGGGGTAAGTATTTGTATGATCTAAGGCGCAATTCCCTGCTGTAACCATACTCCGATGGTTGGTGTTCACATAAAGAAAAATGATTTAGCTATAAACTACTGAATTTTACAGTATATGTTGTATTTGTATATATAATTATTTGCTCAACATGGTTTGCACTTAAGCATTATAGTCTCAAAGACTTCCTAATTGCACGTTATAGGAAGCAGCATGGATACTATTAGCATACAGGGCTCTTACCACTGGGGATCGTCCATAGGCTGCGGCTGCGGCAGCGGCTGCAGCTGCTGCACTCATCTGTGGGGAGATGTTGTGAAGACTGGCGTACGCTGCTCCTGGACTCGTCAGCTCCCCGTTCATGCCAGAATGTGGCACTAATCCAAATGGTGTTGGATAAGGACATGGGACTGCCATGGGGGCCCTGAGGCCAGCTGCAATAAACAAAATACAAGAGATATAGTTTTTCAGATTAAGATTTTTTTTTTTAGACCCTAGACCAAATTCTTTGAAGCTAAAATGTGTAATATACATATATATATATATATATATACATACACACATATATATATATATATATATATATACACACACACATACATACATACATACATACATACATACATACACATATATATATATAGCAATTATCTATAAATATTTGTTTTTCGATTGTCATTACTAAACATTTCTAAAAGGTGCATTTTTGTAGTCATTTTAAGATAAGTGTAAAGTTCCTCTGTAAGGTTTACACACACTTTAAAGCTTAATTTTTTGTCATTTTTGTTGTGTTATGCAGCCCTAGGAACATAACTTACCATCAATGAGATGTGCACCATGTCTTGATGGATTCCACTTATGGTAGAATGAGTGCCGCCCGGGACCCTGTACAATGCTGACCTTCTGCTGATGTTGAGGTTAACAGCAGCCCCTTCCAGTGTGAGGGGGGGCTGAAAAAGGTGCATTCGCACAATGGCAGCGGTTGCTGTTAGCCACCGCATCAACAGAAGATGAGCATTGCAGGAGGTATCCCGTCACCCATGGGAGAATTTCTACAATAAGCAGCAGCCACCAAGACATGGGACACATCTCATGGGTGGTAATTTAAGTTCCTGGGGAAGCATAAAAAAAAAAAATCAAAAAATTCAGCTTTAAATATTTACTTGCGTTTACACAGCTATGTTACCAGTACACAAAAATGTATAATATATCCATATATCACTGTAAAGGTTTCTGGCAGCATTACTTTGCAACCGAGATCCCAGCTCCACCCACCTGCTGTGGCTATTATCTGACTAGCCTTTCTTTTATTTTACATTACAGACAGTGCAGCAGAATAAGTGAGTGGTGGGGGCCAGGAACTCCAGCAGGAAGATCTCTCACTGCTTGTGTACCTTTCCCATAAATGTAAAAGGCCTGTTGGCAACAAAGCAATTGCAACAGTCAGCTGCTGTTAGAAAACTGGCATGAAATCTACATGCTTCAAGTCCTGAATCCTTTAAAAAAAATGCTGGTTGCCTGGCTTTCTCTGACTTCATTATTTTGAGTCATAAACCCAGAGCAAGCATATGGAAAAAAGCCAGAGCAAAGACACAACTTAAGATCTGTGTACTTGTTCTCGGTCAGTGAATTGAAGTACTGAATCCATTAGATCGGTCAACAGGCCAGGCAATAAACATTTCCACAGGAAGAGATCAGCAATGATGGCCTCTAATTATCTTACTACAGGTTTCTTTTATGCAAAAACGTATTATGAATCTTTTAAACTATAGCATGCACCATGCATTAGCGTGTGCGTTAGGCAACCCATTCAAAAGGAATGGGCTGGCAATGCATCTCAACAGACCTGCATCGTAACGGTGCGTTGGGGTGCCTTTCAGAATGAATAGAGCTGCATTGTACCATTGCAAGTGGTGCCGTGAGCTGCCGTAACATGGATGGGAATGTGTGCATAAAAGGCAACGCAATGATGTAAATAGAGCTTTAGCTAAAACCTCATTCCAATTATTTCCAAACAACTTAAAAACAAAACATTCGAAAAAGGATTTGCAGCATATCTTTCACTATGCAAAGTAAAGCCACACCATCTATTCACAGATCTTTTCACAAGTCCCACCAACCACTGTGGCAGAGGGACTTGCAGGTCTCAATAGAATACAAGTGATGTCATCCCACTTGAAGGTCTGTTGACATTTCCACCCGTCCATCTTACTGAATGTCTGTCCCTCGGCACGGACATGGATGGGAGCAACAGACTGCAAAAGCATTGCACCTGCGGTCTACTGATTGCGGTTGCAATGCTTTACTGGCTCCTACGCAAAAGAAAAAATGCACATTTTTTCTTTAATGAAGTATACTTTTTTGCAAAAGATGGAATTTCCCTTTAAGTTCACTTTGATAAAGCAAGTGTTAAATATGATGCATCTTACTTAATGGATCGACTCCTTGTGGCTTGCCAGGAACAGGCCGCAGTCCAGTCGAATTGCTGCCAGGGGTGGGCGCATCGCTTCGCGGAGTGGGTGTGTTAGATTTAGAAACTGGAGTTGTGGATTTCTCATTCTTCCAGGAGGTGAATGAAAGGGGAAAAAAGAAAAGGAGAAAATAGATCAATCATTTAATCCAAATTCCTGTCTGCAAACATACTTGTCTTTCCATAATAAAAACCATGTAAGAGTTACATCAGCTCCACACAGGCACCAGCAAAAAGAATCTCCAGCTGAACCAAAAGATACAACGTGCTAAATGACTTGAATCTTCCCAAAAGTAAACAACTTATTGACTCTATGGTTTACTCTACAGCAAACCTCAAATACTCACCCTGCTAAAGTCAACATCCCTAACGGAAGAGTCATAACATATGTGCTTTCACAGTCATATCTTTCAAGTATCTATTCATAACACAGGAGTGTACAGCAGACCTGTGTAACTAGAGCAGCATGAATGGAAACACACCTGTAAGCAATAAGATACGCAGGAGAACACGGCATACTACAGTGTTTAAAGAGAACATATATTCCAGCTTTCAAAGTTCCATTTATTTCTTTACAGCTTAAATTATATCAAAACATACAGGGTTTTCCGTGTACCTAAAAACTATTAGAGATTTTATACTTTTCTTAAAATGAAAACATAGAACACTAAGAACAAGTCGCTGCAAAGCCCACTTTTATGACAACAAACAGCTTGTTTCACCCCTTAGAGTCTGAACACAAGGCCAAAAATGTAATCTATTTCAGCTTAACAGTCCCTAGATGTGGTGGCTGCATTCGTTTTCTATTTTCATCGGTTGATCCTGTCCGTAACATACTTCCTATATTATGGTGACAACACTCACAGCACCTTCTCTATGGAGGGAGCAGCACTGTCACCCCAATGCAGGAAGTGCGTTTGAACTATGGAACACATCCCTCTTCCCATAACAAAGATAGAGGTGTTCTGTAGTCCACAGAAGTAACATCCGCCCAGCTGCGTGAGTGACAGCTGGCCCTGCCTATCTAGAGGCAGAGCTAGCTGTACCCGCCCCCTCCCCCGTCCGTTCCGACAGCCAGCGCTGGCGGATCGTAGCGGGGAGGGGATAATCCAGCCCCTCCCCTGTCACGGCAGAGAGCCGTGACAGGATCGAGAAGTCAGCGAACACCTGCATGTGTTCGCTCACCTCCCGATCTACTTAGCCCACTTGTGACAGTCTCATTGTCACAGGTCGGCTAGAACTATGAGGTGAGTGGAAATCTCATAGTTCTCCTTTAATGTGGGGCTATTGATCTTCAGGCATGGTCAACTGGTTCTCTTTTTCACTTATCGAACAGAAATGGCATAACAGTTTCATTGGCAGACCGCACATTGCACAGTACAATCCTCGTGTAATACTCTTGCTGGGAGTGATAGCTGCAACGTATAGCTGCATGGGGCCAGCCTGTAACACAATCAATGGCAGACTAGCTAAAAAGACACAGGTGTACGGGTATGTATGTAAATCCTGGGACTTGTCCACTGCACCAAAATTAGAGGTTCTGAGTGCATGCGTCCTTGTACCACACCAAAACAGAAGTTAATTGTAAGGGTTTGCATATACTTTAAGTAAAGTTACCTTTAACAAAATACAAAAACATAAATGTTTACATATTTTCTTGGTTTGGCATGTCTCAAGACACAAATGCCAACATAACATGCATCAGACAGGCTTCAAATAGATGTGCATATATCTTGATATTTTGGCTTACCAGGCTGAGTTCTTTAGACTTTGATGATGGAGTACTGCTTGAGGATGCAATGGATGCTGGACTGATTGGAGGATCTTTCTTTAAAAGTCGGGCCTTATCCAAACCATTTTCTCTAGGAGAATGTGCTGGGCTCCCTCTTGGAGAAGAGGGGTCCTTTATCGTGTGTAAAAAAAAAAAAAAAAGGAAGAACAGGAGTTTTTATGCTATGAGTTAAAGGTCTGTGTAATTGCTCTATGCGCACGAATGGCAATGAACAAACTCTTACATATATACACAAAGAAAACTGAAGCAGAATACACACCTCATTGGAAACATCCACCACAAGGTTGTCATCACTCTTTTCACCATCACTGTCCTGTATGGAGAAGAAAAGACTTCTTGTAATGCAGCAGTTACAAAGGGTGAGGCTGCTCAAAATGTATGCAATATTTTAGCAGCTGAATAGCACAATGTAATAACTCTACACTGAAAAAGTAATCACTCTCAAAAGTGACACTAAACTCAGGAGATGAACCTTAAAAATGCATTAACTAATAACAAAAAATTTATGTTGTTTGTGTATCACTCAGCTGCAGATCCTCAAAATCATCTCTGAATTCATGCCGACACCGTCCTTTCCTACTTTCGTAAAGTAGCCAGATATCCAAGCTCCCATGATGGACTACGATCCCACATTTAGGTTGCTCATTTTTATTAAGATTATAGTGCATCCCGGGAGTGAGTTTGGAGCGGTGGCTACTTTACAACACACACAGGGACCATGGGGAACATAAGTAGTCACCCTCCAGAAGGAAGGACAGTGTCGGGACAAAATCAGATATGAATTGAGGATCTACAGCTGAGTGATACACAAATAAGATGTATTTTGGTAATCGTTAAGAAACTTTAATGTATTTTTAAGATGTAACTTCTGAGTTTAGTGTCACTTTAAGATGTAACAATCACTTTCTGAGCAGGATTATTTTGATCTTTGTAACTAGATCAAGCACAAAAAGCAATACATGGATGAGTAGATCAAGCACAAAAAGCAATTCATGGATGCCTTATGTTGACAACTACTACAGTTACAATTTTACACTCCAATCACAAAGGTCTCATATGACTGGGAAAACATTCGATTGCTTAAAGGCTGGCCCAAACCTTAGGGCAACTACTTAAAGAGGAACTTTACTCATATCTTTAAAATAGCAAATACACCTTTAGAAATGTTTAGTAAATACAAATCTACAAACACATACTTCTAGATAATTGCAAGCTTTGCATGTTTTGCATACCTTATTTCTCTTTTCTTCCCCCAGTCTTCTTACAGTGACCATTCTCACTAAGGGCAGATTAATCCATCTCCCTTTACTTCCTGGGACTCTGACACACATGACTAGGACATGTGACCAAGCACATCATCTCAGGGGAGGAAAATGCCTTTCCCTGAGATCACAGATGAGATTTTCCAGTAATGCTCTGCTGATGTAACCTTCCCAGGATGCAACGCTTGGGCAGGATTACATAATTTGGGCCAGAAGTGGACCAGGAAGTAGATGGACTCTATTTGTAAGTAAATTAAAAACATGTTTGTTTAAATACATGTAACAGGACTTTAAATCAGCATGCAGAGCAGCATGCTGGTGTGATTTTAAGTGAAAGGGGGTTAAGGTCCACTTTAAGCAAGAATATTGTTGCATAATTCACTGGGTGTCACATGCTCTCCAAGTATTTGGAAAGCTGGACTGCTTACAGGTATACCAAACAGAATTTCTACACTTTAAACATTGCTTACACTGGAATAACAACCAAGTATAATTACATATTGCTGGAGCACAAGATCTAAAATACATAAGCAGAGGACTTGGAAGTGCATCCTGCACCTGTGGCTACAGACTTATTATCCCAGGCATTTAATTAAACCTCCCACAAACCTGGGCAATTCAAACTAAACACATGACAAAAAAAAGCAGAAGCAGAAGTTACCTTGATGTCAAAATGATTAGCATTAGCATTGCAAATCCTAACTTTTCATAAAAATGTTTGCTAGACCCCAACTCTTCCACCTTCTAAACCTATTGGTCAGTGACACAACTAATCACTATAAAAGGATAGTGCGTTGTAAGTCCAAAGGGGACGCCAGGCTAAAAACTTTTGCTGGAATAGTTTTGATTTGCATATAAGAATTAGCTGTCTATTTCTCTGGATTATACATTTACATGGAGTTCAACCAAAAGGCCAAATACAAAATTGCAGCATCCTCAGAATTTTAAGGGCAGATTCAACCCATTTTCCCAGACCAGAGCTGTTCTGGAAAATGGTGCAAACCTGCCTGCAGTTCTAGTGCATTCCAGACCAGACAAAATGAGACATGCAGTTCTATGCAAGGATCACTTCAACTTTTCTTTCTGGTGGATGCAGCAACAAATGCATTAATTTTGACAAAGTGCAGAGTCACGTGAAGAACGCTTGCATGCGTTTTGCGCTTGGGGTTAAAAACACATTTAGAGCCTCAGTTTCCTATGTATGGCCCCTAAAACCAGCTAAATCTTTCATATTTTTAAACCCTTCACGACTGGAGACATACACTCTACATCTCCATTGTGAAGTGCCCAAATGACTGCTCGCATACACTGTCCATGAGCAGCTATTCAGGGCTTTGAAATGCCGGTAACCGCTGAAAATCAGCAGTTACCATTCATTAATAGATGCCTCAGTAATGAGGCATCCATTAATGAAACATAAAGCGGTTACAAATACTGGATCGCTATCAGAGTTTCGGTATCTGACAGCTAAAATAGCAGAACGGTGTGCACACCGCTCTGCTATTTGTTTTGGCAGCTCTGTAGAGATCAGGACCTCCCGATGTGTACAGGATGTTTTGTTACATATTTCTGTGCTGAAGAATGTAACAATATCTTTCTATGCTGAAACAATGTTTCAAGGCTTCTGATTGTCTGGGAACGATCAGAAGCCTTTAGTGATGTGGGATCAGTCACAAAGTTTATTATTGGCTGTTCCTAAGTTTGGAGCAGCTTAATAACCAAAAATTTTAAAAATGTATTAAATCATCAAGCAGTTTTTTTTTATTTAACCCCCTCCCCTCATGACGGCGTTGTTCAAAGTATGTCGCTGTCCCTAAGTGTGACAGTTCGTTACACTTAATGACAGTGACATTGTAGACCACCTAGCCTAACCACTATTACTTTTTAGAGAAAAAAGTTATCGTTTAGTTTTAGGCCGAAAAATACAGAAAATGTCTGAAATCCTAGGGATGTGAGGTGTTTCCAAATAAAGGACAAATACATTAATTGTGATGCTTTTTTTTTTAGCTGTGTTATTTTTCTAAAAAAAATATTTATAATCAAAACTGGGGAAAAAGTGTTTTATTTAGGTTTTTTGTTTTTATAGGTTATTCATACTGAGGCATTAGGGCTATATATTTTTTATCACATATGTGCGCCTATCAGTCCTTCCAAAAAAAAAATTTTTTAAAAAGTGCGTCAGTCATTAACGAACAGAAACTGGAAAAAAGCTCAGTCATGAAGGGGTTAAAGCCTGCATTGCATACAACTGTTGCTATATCTGGGGGTAGGCAACCTCGACACTCCAGCTGTTGTAGAACTACAAGTCCCATAAGGCTCTGCAAGACTGACAACAACAGGCATGGCTCCCAGAGGCATGATCAGATTTGTGGTTTCAGAGCAGCTGGAGTGCCAAGGTTGCCTAACCCTGTACTAGACAATACATACTCATTAGATAAATTCAAAAACAGTTAATAAACCGCATACTTCTGTCAGCTCACGTGACGTAAGGAAATCTTGTAGTTGAAAATAGCGTTCAAGGTAACAAATGTTCCACACATCATACTGATGACAAAGTAAACAGCTAACCCACATGAACTTTACGAACATCTAGCTAAGCAAACACTTGACTACATCTAGTCTAACCAAATACACCCTTAGGAAATATTTATGCTTCTTTATGATCCTTAAAGCATATTTGCTTCTCAGAGATAAGATGTATGGTCACTAGTCACGTTCAACCAGGAACCTTAAATATAGTACACAAAAGGTAACAAATACAGAAATCTAACACAGGATTACAGTAATAGGTGTGAGGTTACTTTACTTTATACTTCTGTTACCATGAATACGGAAACGTCACATGTCATCGTGTACTTACGTAACGAGCCGCTATCTCTTTTTCTTCAGTCTTTTGCTTTTTGCTATCTGAAGAATAGTCTGCTGAATTTCTGTGCTTCTCTGCTGCTCTGAAACTTGCAGATGGTGACACAGAGGAGCTCTGAAAGAAAAAGGTGCACCCAAATTTATTAAAAAGGCTAAAAGCAAGGAAGTTAAAACTGCTCATTCATGAATATGTCAAACCCTAAGACATCAGAGGTCAGATTTCAATTCTGAAGTCACTGCTCATTAACCTTACTAATGCTGCCAAAATGACACTGGAGAAACCTGACAGGTGCTGTGTTTACAAAGCACAACATCATACAAGAACAATTACATATGGGAGAATACGCTGCAACATAATAAGGTGTGACCATTTGAAGGTCCTTGTTATTACAAGCACAAAAATTATTCATGTTTAACATTTACACAAAAAGCAAACAATATGGAAAAATGGGTGGTGATGGCATAGTTTATACCTCTCACTTAGGCCTCATTCACACTGCGTCAACTCGGGTCGCACACATCCGTGCAGCGTGCACGCCTGTATTGTGCCGTTCCTGTGAGGGACAGGTGCTGCATGTGGCAGCCTGTTCTTCCCTATGGGAGGACGCCACGGTACGCACACCGGAACTGCACATCCGTACGGGTCTGGGTGTCCATACTGGGACGCAAACCGGATGGATCCCGTCTGCGTCCGAGCCCAGACATCCGACCCGCACAGATGTGCAGTTCAGGTGTGCGTATGACAGCGTACTGCCGTGCCCTCCCATAGGGAAGAACAGGCTGCTGCGTGCAATCACTTGCAGCACCAGTCTCTACTAGGAATGGCCCGATACACGTCTGACCGTTGTACACGCCTGTACGGCCTGAGTTAACGCAGTGTGAATGAGGCCTCAGAGTCTGAGATTTTATTTTAAACTCGGTGCGGAGAAAAATACTAATTTATTACCAATATTTATTATTGGCACTTGTATAGTGCCAACAATGTATGCAGCACTTTATATAGTTGCATGAGTCCCTTCACATAAGGAGTTTACAGTTTAAGGTCCCTTATCTCACATGCATACACACAAGGCATATTTAGACAGGAGCCAATTAAACTTCCAGCACGTAGTGTGGGAGGAAACCCATGCAAGCACAGAGAACATATACAAAATATATTTTTTATATATACAGACATACACACACACATGGATATGAGGAAGGGTCAGCACTAGGAGCCAATCAGGCTTTCCTCCAATCAGGCTTTCCTGCACGCACATGTGCTGTCAAAAGCATTCTAACAGGTGGAAAGAGCAAAGTAGTTTTGCTGCTTAGTTCTGCCAGAGGAGTATGCATCAGCAAAGTGGCTGGACAGAATTCTTCAGTGGATGAGACGGTTTACATTAGATGTATTATCACTAACTGCAAATGTAGTGTTTGTCCAGAGTTCAGCTTTAAATGAGAATTATGGGGAGAGGGAAATACATGCACCCCAATAGTTAGAGCCGGCATGTGAAACTGTAGCCATCACACATCGGCTCTATAGATCGAGAACTGATCCATCACATATCACTGAGGCGTCTCCCTGCAGAGAACAGTTGCCGTCAGTCACCGCTCCATGCAGGGATTCCCCCCTCCCTTCTCCATTCCTCCAGCATTGACTGGCGGGACAGATGGGGAGGGGGTGGGCACAGCTGGCTGAGGCAGAGCCAGCTGTCAAAAAGGAAGCATGGTGGATCGACAACAGTCTGGATCCTTTCCGGCTGCAGCATAGCTCTGTGCTGTCAGCATATAGCAGGCAATAACTCGCTATTGTTAGTAAATGTCCTCCAGCCACCCTAGAGTGAACTATGGCAAAAAAAGGTTTGGTCATAGTTCTCTTTTAAGTAGGCAAAAATGATTAATTCCAGAACTCCCTACTTCTCTTAAAGGAGATGTATGGGGACAGAGAAAAAGAAAAGTAGACACACCGCCTCGAAGACTGAAAGCTGACCAATCAAGTGATCGCTGATCACTCAGGTCCCAGTCACTGCCCCCTCCCCACAGGTATTCCCAGATTGACAGCTGGTTCTGCTCTCTCCCTCCTTTGCCTGTAGTTCCAACCAGCTCAGGCAGCCGGATGAATCCTGACAATATTGGCAGAATTTGGTCTACTGTGTTGCGGCTGGGCCGTCAGCATAAAGCAGGTATAAGCCTGCTATGGAGTGACTTTCATTCACAGGAGTACATTAGCAAATAAAAATCTGTGATCGTAAAGAGAAGTATAGCCAAAAATGTTTTTTTTTTTTAATGGTAATAATGTATTATAACTTCCTCTAAAAGGAATGAACAAGCAAGCATAATACCCCAAGTCTTGGCACTAGTAAATGGGGTGAACTTTTAAAGATCTGCTCTGCCTCCAATCTTCAAGCAAACAAACTGGAGTAATGCAAGTGAAATCTCAATCCACTGCAATTCATTTACTTGTCTCCTCTCACTAGGACGTGTGATTAGCCCTATTCATTCAGCTAGTGCAAAACAAACCGATTTAATCAGCTGATTGCAGGTTAACGCAGCCTGACAAATGAGAGATTTGTGACTGGTTGCTATAGGTAACTTGCCATAACTGGACATGATTTGAACTAACCACCCTAACCCCCTGCCAGTTGAATTAGGACAGATCCAAATCAGTGTACTCATCTCTGTTCACAGAAGGAACTATAATGTATTTCTAAACTAGAACAATATGGTGGCATTTACACTAACTTTGACAAATCCAGGGACATCAAAAATACTGATCTTAAAAAAAAAAAAAGGATATATATCTATCTGTATTAAATGTTCACAAATAAGCTGTCACTTGTAGGTTACACTCCAGGGTAAACAGTGGTGGTCAGATACAAAGCTGATTGTCTACAGCACACTATGGAGGTGGGTGCAGCTGGCGGTACCCCAAACTCCTGGGGAAATATGCTTACACATGTGACAGTCATCAGGGTCAAGTTCCTGAGAAACCTGAAGATTTTATCCCACAAACATCATTATTGAATGATGACAATGTATATAGGTGACATATTAGATGATGTGGTACTGAGACAATGCAGTGAATGGAGCGGAGGCAACTAAAGCTGGGTACATGTAGATCGAATTTTGGCTGATTCAGCAAAAATCAGCCGAAACATGATCTGTGGGCGGCCCTAACCCCCAAACGGAAGTTGAGCTATTGATGTGACCCGTTTGGAAATTGTCTAATCGTGCGTGCAGCCAATCAGCTGCAAGCACTGTTCGGGAATTTGGACAGTGGCTGGCACAGTTGTCAGAATACAATATACACAGTTGGAGATATGTTCATACACGCTGTTAGCGTTGATAGGAGGAATCTGTCATGTTTTCTTGCAGGCTGAATGAAAAATCAGTGTGTACCTAGCTTAACTCAACAAGTACAACAGCTGGATTGGTGGCAACCACCTGTCCATGATTTTTTGTAAATACTGATCTAGGTTATGGTTTGATACCATGAGTAAAGTTAGTCTGTTCAGTGCTCCTTAGGGACTATTGCTGATGGCAAACGAACAGTTTCGATCTGTCACTTTTTCTCTACAAGCTGCAGCACTGATAAAATAATTCGGTAGTCTAATGAAGTGCAGTATTGGTGACATAATTCAGCAGGGAGCATTCATAATGGACTGAAAAAGATGTCAAATTGTTCCACTGAAGAGGCTGTGAAACTGACATGTTAAGAGAGAAGTCTCTATGCTCCATTTAACATGATAAAATAACACGCTGAAAATGACCACTTCCAATTTGTTAAACAATATATTCGGCGCTCCGGTAAGTATAGCAGAGCATGCAGTTTAAAAAAAAAAAGTAAAACAAGGAGCACTTAACTAATGCAGAGCTTAGAAGTCATAGGTTGATAAAATTGCCTAACAGCTCTTCCATTTAAAGTATGAACAAAAAAAAACAAACAAAACAAAAAAAAAAAAAGGTACCCCTATGACACAGGAACATGTTAACACGTGTAAAGGAATACCGTAGAACTGGAGAAAAAAAAAAAGTTTCAAGTGTCTATAGGAAACAGTTATGATCTTGGTGTTCCATATGTAGCTGTACAAAAAAAAAAAAAAAGAAGGCTTAAAAGTTCTCCTAAGGGTAACGGGGGGACACATACTAGCGTTCCCCCATGACCCAACGCTCAGTTTACCGCGAGCTACAGCTCACGGTATACTGAGACGCCGCAGCCGGAACGGATCCCGGCATTACGGTCGAGATCCACCCAGCTGCGGGATTGGCAGCTGGCTCTGCCTATCCAGAGGCAGAGCCAGCTGTGCCCGCCCCCTCCCCCATCCGTTCCGCCAGTCAGTGCTGGAGGATCGGAGCGGGGAGGGGGGGAATCCCTGCAAGGAGCCGTGAGTGCTCTCTGCAGGGATAGATCGAGAAGTGAGCGAGCGATGGTATGCGTTCGCTCACTTCCCGATCTACTGAGCCGACCTGTGACAGTTTCAGAAAAAAATAAATGTATCGATCGATCGATATATATCTATCTATCTATCTATCTCTATCGATCGATCGATCGATCGATCCATTTATTTTTTTCACATGGAGTAGCAGAAGTAAAAAAATTTGTGTATATGTTGGTGCATAATATTCTGCAGGGTTTTCCTTTCCTGTCTTTTGGCCCATACTAGATTAGTTGGCAAACTCTTACTTAACTCTGTTTAGAAACCTTGAGATTGTAATTCACGGGGTTGTGATGCTCCAGCATTTTGTAAAACTTTAGACCAATGATAGACCAATAGATATAGATCTATATCTATATAGATATAGATCTATATCTATCTATATATCTATATCTAGATAGAGATAGATATATATCTAAAGATTGAGTCTACACTTTTCTTAACCTCCAAATATTACTCTATGGACTCCCAAAGTCTAAGACTTTGACAAACAGGGCTATTCACAAGAGGGTGAAGAGTTTGGAGGAGTGATCTAGGGCAAAATAGCTGATTTGGAAAAAATCTCCAGTTCAGCTATGTTGTCCTAGATTGTTCACTTCTCCTGCCTTCTCCAAACTCTTCACCCTTTTGTGAACAGCCCTGTAAAGTCTATTGGAAGGTCTTGGATGACCATATATGAAAAGGACCGCAGGTACAT